GCTTCAGGTCGAGAATAGAGATGTCCCTCTGGTCCGGTTATACCCTTCTTGAACACTGTATCTTGCAATGCTTTGATTAATTTCCCATTTTCTGCATGCACCATAGCTAAGGCCCCGAGTTCTTTTGCCTTAAGGAACACCTTGAACAAATCATCATCTTCCAAAAGCAAATCATCAAGGTTGGCCATAAACGCTTCAAAAGAGTTGACTCCTTTCTCCTTCACAAGAAGCTCCATCTCCTCGGCCACTTTTTCATCAAAGTGGGGAACGATCACGTGTAGCGCATAATCACAGCACACTTTCGGATCGGCACATTCGCGATAATGATCGTAAGCCTTCAATATGGATTCACCACGCGAGGGGCGAACTATGTCGACTGAAAGAGAAGCAAAATGAGACTGCAGCTCAAAACGAACTTATTGTTGTTGTTCCACCAGCCAATGCAGCTTTTGTCCCAGTATAGAAGTCGTCTGCCGATGCTGTGCCCATGAACTGCATCTGCATGTGAGTATGGGGATCGACGCCACCTGAGGAAGAGACTGTGAGATCGGATGATAAAACACACCTGGTATGACCATTTTCCCGGCGGCTTCTATAATTCTGACACCTCCAGGTATTGTTAGCTGAGTTCCAACTTGGCTACAATGCATTCATGAATCAGATCACAGGAGAATATCACTTACCGGATGACCCCGTCTTCAACATAGATATCGGCAAAGAAGGATCGGTCATCATTCACTATTTTACCTCCTTTTATTAGCAACCTGTTTTGAGAACTCTTTCAAGGCAGCAAACAATCATACATATGGTCAAGATTACCTGCAGGTGCAGTGGCAATTTCTTCAATCCGACCTGAATTTTCGAATCGTGCATTTTTTGAAGTATAACTAAAAGGAAGTATAGAAAATATTTGACTTTAACTGCGGAAAACCGAAACAAAATAACATCAAACAGTAGAGCACTACATCTATGAATAAAAGCAAAACATGATTGAAAAGGGTGAGGCTACATGCGGCAAAAGATTATTTTATCAAGCATAAATCGGATAATTAACGATCGTTCAACATAACTAAAAAACAGCGACCCATTGAGTATCACTGATGTGATCTGGCTCTAATCTTTTCAGCTATCAATTATTTTATTATTATTATCGCACACACACACACGCTTAGGTGGTGAACTGCATATAGGGTGGACCCCATAGACACGAAGACCTGTCGTTCAGTGATATAACCGGGAATCTCAGCCCCCGGGCTTGGTGTGGCGAACCACAAGGGCCCCGCCAGGTCATGCGTGGTATTGAATCGGACGACGGCAAAGCTGCCCATCACCAAAGTTAGGTGGCAGTAGCGGGACTCGAACCTCGGACCATAGGGTCCCAAGCGCGCCGGCAACAGTATCGGAAGAGTCGGTTAAATTCAGCTAAGGATAGTGCACATGACAATCAACGTTGCACTTTCCGGCGGCAATTTAAGTTGTTCTTTTGACTGACCGTTTGAATAGAGTACAGGTAAGATGTGGAAAGCTAACAATACCTAATGCGGTTCAGCTATACTTATCAAGAGCTTAAGAGGCAAAAAAGCCACTGATTAGTACACTGATATGTGTCTCTAGCCAATGATTAGACTGATCCCAAGAAATTCGGAGAAGACAGCAATGTTTGAACACCGACAGTCGGTGCTGATCTATGCAATGACTAGATAGGATGTGCTGTATTGAGCGGGACGATACCGAGTGCCTAACGTCAAAAGTGAGTATTGATGGCAGGGTTGTTATCTTAAATCATGCGGAAAGTGAAAGTTCAATATTCAACCAGATCCCCCCTTGTACACTTATTCAAAAATAAGAATGATGTTTTTATATAAAACACTATCAATTGAGGTACTCAAGTACCTCATCCCCCCACCGATGCGTTTAAAACAATTTCTTGGAGTTGGCAAGTTGCCGTCGCTAATCCGATTACATAAAAAGCATATCGAAAACCGTCAACAAGAAAGATTAGAACATGGACAGCATGAATGTGTTTTACGAATTTAAGCTCGCAATTCAACCTTCCTCGATCTCCCGAGATATTTTCTCCAGTCCTTCACTCGCTTTCACTTGAACCTATATGATCGTGTTGTAGTTCGTCATTGATTAGTATCAAAAATTGCTTCTACTCGGCTGAATGTCATTTTATGCGGGCCTTACATTAATTGCCCAACGTAATTATAGGATTAAGTTACTGGTGAAAGAAAATGAATCATAGACCATTGTGAATCCTGTCGTGATACATGGGGTGATGTACAACAACAACAACAACAAAACTACACTATGAGAATGCTACTTTGGTTGGCGACTGAAAGTTTTNGCCCTGCGCTTCGATACCCGAGTGACAACGATAATAAAGACCACTGTTAATGACACCTGTGTTTTCAATGTACCTACCATCCTGTACGGCTTCTTTATCTTTCATATTTTGCAGTAATTGATATTTCAAAAAATCTGTTCTGTAAAAAGATAGGTAATCACTGTCAATGATC